CGTGAGCACGCGCTCCCGTGCTCGTGTAGGGCAAAGAAAAAAACCGCATTTCCACGTGGTGAATGATATTGATTGATGCGAAGCTCTGGTGGTGCTTGTCTGCGTAGATGGTGAGCTGCAGCATTCCGAGCGTTTCGTTCGTTTTCATTTACGTCAGAAAGAGAATGTGTAGTACGGAACGTGGATATATACGCATTTGAGCATTTGACCGCAGCGTGACTTGGATAAAAACGAACGAAAGGCTCGGTATGCTGCGGCTCAGCGTCTACGCAGACAAGCACCACCAGAGCCTCGCCCCAAATAACATCATTCACCACGTGAAGATGCGTTTTTTTTTTGTGTTTTTTTTTACTTTTGACAGCTTTACACTATTTTAAGGAAATCAGTAGCTATATTATACGATAAAACACTGACGTGAAATTTTAATCTAGTTGATATGAGCGAAGTGCGCAAAGAAAAGGATCGTGTCTCCCATGAGTTTTCATTTCAATGTAGCAAAGTTTCCAGAGTCTGGAGAAAAGGTTTACATCGGAACGAAAACACCGAACAAGCCTCTCCACAGTAGTTTAGGGAGAGCGAGGGAGCCATTCCGTGCGGAGTGGCCATCATCTTCCGCCTCCGAAACCCCCCGCAAAAAACCCATTTGCGGTGAGGAAATAGAACGCCCCGAAATGCTGGGTTCAAGAGAAGAAAAAAAAGCACTTCCGGACCAGCTTTTGTTCCGCTGCTTTATACTTTGGACCAAAAGCAAAAATATAATACAACATCCCCGTGGCAGAAATTCCTAATAATATCGACCAACCAGCATACACTTGGGAAACAAAACAACAAAACAAAGCATATACTACACGCAAAAGATTGATGCAAGTCGCGTAGATTGGATGTCGTCACAATCTTTGCGCTGTATATTTGATGCGCACCCGAGTATCTTGTTTCGCGTCCGTCCACGTGGGGAACCTCGGCGCCTTTTAAATTGCCACCCAGAACGGACGACTCGGTTTCAAGGGGGACTAACGAGATTGGGACCGCTGCCGCCGGACTGCTCGGGTTACGATGCTCCCTGCGCGTGTACCCAAGAGACGCGACTTCGCGTCTCGGGGCCCGCGCAGAAGCTGCCCCTTTCCAACGACGTAGAGTCATTATGGCTGCTCCGCTGACAACCGAAACCACAATTTCCCACCCACGAGTGGTCAATTTACCCAACGAAAACATTTGTTTGTGTACATTGGTTTACAGACAGACAGTCTGAGATGAATTCATCTTCTAGCTCCAGCATCGGGCCGTTTGATGTACTGCTTGGCTCCAAAACGTAATACACCTCCATTTAGGATCCTCGAAACTCTACTCTCACTTTTAAATTTCAAATTACTGCAAGGACGCAGTGTCCGCGCTGACGCGAACTAAGGGAGAGTGTACCCTATGCCTTGGACTGAAAATAAGCCTGATTTAGAGCATCGGAGTTTAATAAGACATAATGTGTTTACTACTGTATTTTACAGAACAGGGTAGCGCTCTTGCATGACTAAAAAGTGCTACACGCAATCAACGAACCATAAACAACGCATAATCAGTAGCAGGCAATGAATGAGCATCCTAACGATAGAGAAGTCATAAGTAGATTAATAACTAGAATCACAAAATCGAAGTTAAAAATATTCACTTAGGAGCTCAAGGGGGATGGAACCCCAGACAATGCGATCCGCAGTCCGATATCTTTGCTCAGCAACACGAGCAGTTTTTTTTTCTTTTTTCTTTATTGCATAAAGCAGAGAACACACGTCAAATAATAATGAAAATGCTCTGCAAAGCTTTGGCAGGGCATGTTAAAAGGATTTCATTCCCATAGCTCTTTGAAAAGGCCTAGCAATTCGGGCTTGGGCTCACGGGTAAAAAAAAAAACATTTTCTATTTGTTTCACAAGGCAAAATAAATAAAATCGAACTTCTTTGTCATTGGGGTCGTCGTGACGTACTGTCATACTCGATCGCCATATACTGCACAGTCTTAAAATAAAGAACATATCAAAAGGTACACGATCGTCGTTACTTACGCTCAAAAAACGCATGCCCGATGGGCTGATCCAGAACTCTTTCTTTAACGTACGATAAAGGAATTCCTCCCCCCCCCCCCCAAAAAAAAAAAAAAAAAAAAAACTGCGTCTCAATAGAAAATATAAACCTGCTAAACGGTCTCGGGTTGTTTACACAACATGCAATCCACCGGCCATGGTACACCGACGCCCTCTTCTCTAAGTCAAGCGTTAAAAAGCGTTATTGCTATGCAATTCGAAAAATAAAATTTTGACAGTGGGTGGTACACGCATGCGCTTAATTAACACATTTGAGTACATCGCGACGATTGCTGCAAATAACGCCTCTGTACAGCAGGGCAGGAAAAAAACTTAACACCAAGTCATGTTTTAGCGTCTTCTAGGTTATCACAGAAAGATACTCTAAAGAAAAGCGGGAAGACAAAAAGTGGAAAGCGTTGACAACCTCCTTGTGAAAGCCATACAGTCTTGATGACTCACCGCCGTAGGATGATACAGCAAGGGTCAGCAAATGAGATGACAGTTTTGATTTAATGGACGAGGGTATGAATGGGTGGTCTTGATCGCGGAGAAAAAAGAAACGTGACACCAGAGATGTATTGCTAATCACGGGGCATTTGAGATTAGGAGTAGGGGCGAAAAATGGCATTAGCCATACATCTCTGGGTCTTTCTACGAATGAGTTTGAATATTTGAAACGTGGTCTGGGCGGGGACTAATGTGACGTGTGGTGTCTGATGGTGTGCTCCCGTTGGCATATAAGTTTGTGTTTTTTCCTAATAAATTCAGTTGAGAGTGCACCCTGTGTCTCGAAGCACGCTGTGTTGTTCCTGCTGTCACATCTAACGCCGAAAACCTCGCCGGTACGAGCGTTGAACTTCAGCCTTTTTTTCTGGGGCCTTCTGGGAGACGCCGAACATCGCCCGGTCTACCGCAAGCAAGCGTCGCGGGGGGCTCGTGCAGAGCCAACCTCAGCCCCTTGCCGACGACGGAATGTCTGCTGGCCAACCTTCATCCCAAGTTGACAGGCCCACCTACCACCTAGAGCCGGAGCACGTGCCGTCGGGGACTCGTCCGTCTCCCCGACAAGCTCATGAGGTAGCCGAATCTTCGGAGGACGACTCTACCTTCAAGGAAGGCATCTCCGATATGGACGACTCTGAAGGGTCCCAAGACTGGACCGAATCGCGAGGCAAAAAGCGCCGACGGAAAAGTGGCGGCTCGGGCACGTCCGGGACTACTAGCCACAGGCAACTTGAAGAGGGGTTCACCGTCTTGTTCGCCCCCACCAACTCCGACTCGGTTGCGTCGCTCAGTCCATCCAAGCTTACAGAATACGTCGAATGTGCTGCGCCAGGTGCCGTCAAAGAAGTCCGCGTCAACAAGGCAAGGAACTTAATTGCGGTGGAAGCACGGACACCCAAGCTCAAGGGAGTACTCCTGGACCTCAAGGTACTCTGCACCACTCCTGTCCGAGCATTCCTCCCCAGTCCCCCGAACACCTGCATCGGGCTTATCAGGAACGTGGAACTCGGCCTTTCCGACGCTGACATCCGGAACCAGATACGGGCTCCAGTCAAGATCTGGGACGTGCGGCGACTTGGGGAGAAGTCTAAACTCGTGAAGATTGTCTTCCTCGGGAAGACGCGGCCCGACTCCCTCCTCTACGGACTAGTTCGAACTCCGGTCCTGCCTTTCAAGGTAAAAGCCCTGCAGTGTCGGCGGTGCCTCCGTTACGGCCATATATCCGCGGTCTGCAATCGTCCCCAGGCATGCGCACGATGCGGCGCCTCACATGACGGCGGGTGCGAATCACCCGAACCAAAGTGCATTAACTGTCGTCAGAGCCATGAGGCCACGTCCTCGTCCTGCCCAACCCGACGTCGAGAGGTCGCCATCTCGCGTTACCGCTCAGAAAACAACGCAACGTTCCGGGATGCTCGCGAAGCACTCCGCAACTCCTCGTCAGCCAAGTCAGACAAGAATTCACGCAGTGAGCAGGGTAGCACCCCCTCAGACAAGAATGTACCCCAAGACGCGCGTCCTTCCCCGACCGACACTCATGCACCGGCGGTATCATCCCCTACCTGCCAAGAAACCGATGCCACTCCCGGCACCAGCCTCTCAGCCTCCAGCACCACGGTAAAACAGACCTGGGCAGAAACTGTCAAAAGCTCGAAACCATCCAAAGGCCGCGACACCCGAGCTTCTCGACAAGGCGCACCTGTGCCGCCATCTTCAGGCCACACCGAAGCCGCCGCCCCCTTCTCGCCGCATCCCTTCAAGTCCATTGTAACCATGATCTTTGGCGCCGTGCGTGACCTAATCCACATCCTGCCAACATCCTCGTTCCGTAAGTTCCTGGAAGCCGTCCTAGCGCTCGAGGGCATCATAGGGGCGCTGCTCTGAAGCTCGACTGACAGCGGTACCCTTAGCCCCGCTGATGCCTCCCTCAGTGCATCAGTCCCCTGCTAGAGGGCGACGACAGACCCCTGTGGCTCTACAGTGGAACTGTGCAGGTCTGCTGACCAGACTGGCAGAGTTGTCCCTCTACCTTCAACAATGGAAGATACCCATTTTAGCTCTTTGCGAAGCTGGTCTCCCAGGAAATCGCAGCATCCCTGGGTATTTTGCTTATAAAAACCCGTCCATACCAAGCTTTCCAAACGGCCGCGCTGCAATTTATATCCAAAAAGCTATCCCTCACCATGTCGTGGATGTCTCTGACCTCTGCACTGTTAACCGGGACCTCGTTGCGGTGCGTGCTGAGATCGCCGGGCGGCGCCTCACTATTATCTCAATTTATGTCCGCCCAGGAGGGGGCGCTGTGGAGGTCGCCGGCTTGGTGGATTCCCTGCGCACCAGGATCACCGATCTGGTTGTGATCTGTGGGGACTGGAATGCTCATCATGCTCTATGGGGTGACACCAGAGAAGATGCAAGGGGCAGGATGCTGGCAGAACAGTTTGGAGAACACAACCTTGCTGTGGCCAACGACGGCTCCCCGACATTTTTCCGGCCACCCTGCACTTTCAGTGCCATCGACGTCACAGCCCATTCACCGGAGATCCCACTGTCTTGGCGGGTTGCAGCCGACACCATGGGCAGTGATCACTTCCCAGTCTTCATCGACATCATAGGCCTACAACGTCCTGGGGTCCACGAGATCTCCGTCATTCACTGGGACCGGTTCCGAGACAACCTAGGGCGATCTACACGTCCCCTCCTGGAGGCCATCAGCGACGCGGCGAAAGAAGCCACAATCAAGGCATCCGTACCTACATCCTTCCCTGCACCCGACCTGACCCTTCTAAACCTGTGTGCAGCAAGACGGAGGGCCCAGAGACTTCTGCAACGTAAGGGTGGCGTGACCTTTAAGACCCTCTTTAACAGGATTGACGCTGCCCTACGACGCTATGCCAAAAAATGCTTCAAGCGGCAGTGGGATTTGATCTGCTCTTCGGTGGATGCAACCACACCAGCCCGGCGTATCTGGAGGCTTATGGACAGTCTGTCCGGGAAAAGAATGTACAGCCTCCCATTCGCTTATCTGGCCCTATGCACGGGAAAGCTACAAGCGGCCCTGGCCGAAGACGTTGCGACTCTCTATGCCGCGGCCGTTTCCCAGCCAAAGCCGCGCTGCCATGCGGACAAAGCACCTTTCTGCATGGATGCCCCTTTTACGGAATCCGAACTGAGATCCGCACTGAGAGCCTCCAAGAGACGAGGGGCACCGGGACCAGACGGGGTCACGACGCAAATGTTACAGAACCTGCCAGATTCACGTTCGCAGGAACTTCTTTCGTCGTTCAATGATATCTGGGCCTCATCAGAATCTCCAGCGGTTTGGCGACTGGCATGGATGGTCCCTGTACTCAAGAGTGGCAAACCAGCAGGAGACTTATCGTCCTACCGGCCGGTGTCCCTCATCTCATGCGTTGCCAAGCTCTTCGAGCGGCTGGTACACGCCCGCTTGATCTGGTGGCTGGAGGAACACAACCTACTCCCGTCAAATATAACTGGGTTCAGGTCCCGTCTCTCCGCACAAGACAGTATCCTGGACATTGTCAGTGCAGTGCAGCATGCAGCAGCTAGCCGTAAGTCTACCGTGGCGGCATTCTTCGATATTCAGGCTGCATTCGACAATGTGGAACCGGCATCAGTCCTGGCCCAACTAACCTCTTGGGGTATCACGGGAAGAGTTCAGGGCTTCCTCGAGGGTTTTCTTTCGGACAGATCAATCCAAGTCAAACTGAGCAACACACTCAGCCAGTCAAGACCTTTGCAACGCGGTCTACCCCAGGGCAGCGTCCTGTCGCCTCTACTCTTTAACATCGCCATTGCGGGCCTCCCAGCCGCTCTTCCCAACTCAAGGATCCCGATTGGCATCTCTATGTACGCGGACGACTTATGCATCTGGGTCTCTGGCTTCCGACACCCAACCTTGAGGGCCATAATGCAATCCGCCATAAACAAGATCCAGGCCTTCCTCGAGAACCAAGGTCTTTCAATTTCCGGTCACAAGGCAGCAGCCATGGTCTTCCCAGGAAGGAACCGCCTGTTGCGGGAGGTCAAGCTCCAACTGGACTCGCAGCCCCTGCGCCTCGTATCAAAGCACCGCTTCCTCGGCATTACTCTTCAGAACCGCTGCAAGTGGCACGACCAGATAAAGGCCGTCACGGCTTCCACCATCTCTTCCCGGAACGCTGTGCGCCGGGTCGGAGGGCAGAACTGGGGCAACTCTCCCCGATCCATGCTGACCCTTCATTCCTCTTTGGTGGTGATCCGACTCATGTATAGCTTACCATACATGGACCTCCTCCCCAGTCAGGCCGACAAACTCGAACGGCTACACCGTGCGGGCCTGCGAACATCGCTAGGCGTTCCCAGAAGCGCCAAAAACGAGAGGGTGTATGAGGAGGCCCGGTCGCTTCCTTTGCACCTCCAAGCCTCCCAACGCCTTTTGCTGCAAGTCATTCGTCTAGGGGAGACTCATCCTGGCCAGTCCCTGATCAAGAGGCTCAGGACCCGAACTCAATCCAAACTCAGCCTCGCCACCAAGACCCTTGCCGCACTTGGATGGGAACCCCCCCAGATAATCAACCCGCACGGCCGGACACCCCCTTGGGAGGCAGGCCTGCAGTTAGCCGAACTCCTACCCGGCGTCCGCAAGAAGGCCAACACGCCCCCTCTGGTTCTCAAAGCAGCTGCACAAGAGCAGCTAGCAGCAAGGTACCCTCGGCATCTACACATATACACGGACGGTTCGGTGGACAGGTCTCGGCAAAGCAGCACGGCAGCCTACCACATCCCGGACTTACAAAAAGACTGGAGCGCCCGCACTACTCACATGGTGTCGTCCACGACCGCCGAGCTGCTGGCGATCGCAGAAGCCCTGACTGCGACGAAGTCGCTGCCTCCACAACTAATCGTTGTCCTCACGGACTCACGTGGAGGAATTCAGCGCATACGCAAACCTGGTCCATGCCCCACTGCCAACGAGGTGAGACGGGTAGTCCGCCAGCTTGAAGAACATGGACACTCCATCTCGCTCCAGTGGGTCCCATCCCATGTGGGCCTCCGCGGAAACGAGATTGTGGACCGCATAGCCTTACGTGCCCACGACCTCTCTCCTACACTAAGGGCGCCTCCTAATCCCAAGCGCTACCAGCAAGCCATCCAGGCTTTCTTCTCGGATATTTCCCCCTGGAGCAGCTCAAAGCGGCCACCTTGCCTGACCCAGGGGTTAAAACGGTCCGACGCGACGCTGCTCTTCCGACTTAGAACAGGGAGCGCATACACAGGGAAGCTCCTCCACCGGTTTGGACGCAGAGACACTCCGCTCTGTCAGCGGTGTGCGGTCACAGAGGACGAGGTTCACATAGTCTGGGGCTGCCCTCTTCACGAGGAAGCTCGAAGGACGTTTCTCTCCGCCCTATCCTCACAAAATATCCGACCGATGACAGCATCAGACGTAGTTTTCCCTGAAGGTCCCAGGCATAGAAGACGGATCATACAGTCCCTCCTACTGGGTTTCCTACGAGAGACCGGTCTAGCAGAGCAACTATGACGCCCTCCTGCTCTTCCGCTAAGTGCCACTAGCCCAGCTCGGACTCGCTAACTGGCTCACTGAGACATGAATGCTGCTGGTTTATTTTGCCTTCCCCCCCCCCTCCCCCCCTACTCACCTAAGTCCCATCTTTTCCCCTCCTCCTATCCCAGGGCGGAACAACGCTTGCACTTTTGGCAAAGCTAACCCTGCCTTCCCCACATCACGACACCCCCCCCCCCCCCCCCTGTGTCGTTGTTATTCTTCTCTTTGTCGCTGTTCTTTTGGCGCTTATTTCCCAGGACGTACTAACTGGCCCGTCTAAGCATTTTATGATAGATATTCATTTTTATTTTTCTCTTCATGATGGGGAGCCCTGTTTGTCATTTTTATGACCACCAACATCCGCACGCCATCGACGACCTCAGCCATTAGGTCCCTGACGCAATCGTAAAAAAAAAAAAAAAAAAAAAAAAGAAATTCACTGGCGCAGTTGACAGAATTGCATCGGCGGGCCCCGCCGGCTGGATGACCCAGCAGATTCAGCGGACAGTAACTCCATTTAACAAGAAGAGAGGCGGCAAGTTCCCGAACCTCCGCAGTGTTTTAAACTAAGAATACTTGGAACGCCGAGACTTCGCGTCGACGTGGTTTCGGAAGTGCTGCAGACTTACAACCCTGCGAAGGGTCTACACTACTCGGACACCGTTATCGTGCCGTACTGTTCCCATCGACAGACTGTGTGTCCTTGCCATAGGGACTTGTCAACCTTCGAAGGTAAGTTTATTATTTTGACTGGTTCCCTCCATGGGAGCTACGTAGTGGGGAACGGCATATGCCGGTTCCTCGTTGGGTCGGGATGGAGCTAACAATAACAATGTCGACGAGCCAGGCGAACCGTCACGTCAGAGTAGACCACCGGCGACTTTGGGACGCACGTGGACGGAGACAGAGATGGCCGATGAAGTAGCCCACTGATTAAAAGAGATGTTGCGCTCGTAAGAGAAAAAAGACGGCTATTGCGTCCAGTGCTTGAACTAGAGCGAGTTTGTGCGTAAAACAGACCCGGAACTAGTGGAGGCGGCGCAGAACGCAACCTGATGGAGGAAGAGCTTAGCCTGTCCAGGCTCATGAAGGACGTGTTGACACAAATGCCGTAGTCCGAACTGCTCGTACCAAGCTGGTTCAAAGGTGTCGAAAATGTTTATGCGACATGTGAGGTGCCCGAGTGCTTAAGGGGCTCGCTAGTGCGACCTTATTTTACGGAGCGCATGCGCGCCGTAAAATAAGGTTCGCATGCGGTGGTGAATAGGCCGCCTGTCGTCGAAGCGAGTGATTACGGTGCGGTTAAGGCGCGAGTTCTCATGGAACTCAAACTCTCGCCGGCTGAGTACAGGAGGCTTTTACTCAAAACCAATAGAATATAGAACGAATCCTGGACCGAGCTTGCGACACGGCTCGAGAGATGCTTAAATATTATGCTCGAAGTCGCTTGATCAAATCTCTTGAGGACTTGCTAGCATTAATGGTATCACACCGCATTAGAGATTCGTTGCCTGTCGACATGCAGACCTACGTAACGCTAAATTAGACTGAAAAATGGCTTGAACCAGCAAAGGTGGCTGCGCTGGTTTACAGTCTTGAAGAGGGAGAACTATGTAAACAACAGAACAACCCTGTGTACTCGAAAAACTGCAAGTCTGAAAAAAAAGGTGGTCTAGTCCTGTCGGAAAAAGACATGATAAGGTAGGGTCGGGCTCATTGTCGAACCAATCCAGGGTGAAATGTTTCAATTTCAAAGGTGTGGGACTTTTTCTCGTGACTGTCCTAGTAAACTATGCTATGGACCCAGACTTGAGGAATAGCCCAGTGATGGGAAAGGTTTTCACGAATCTGCCATCACGCCGACAAAAGGAGTCTCTGGTGGCAACTGCACTTTCCATCGGTCGGGAACGCAGACCCGCTGAGTTGCGTAAAATAGAAGTGAATTGCGTCTCGAATAGTGTAAACGCAATTATTGATTCTTGACCAGAGATTAGTGTTGTGTGTCACGGAGTTATACCTGAGATAGATGGGTCGTCCGGAAGGGTGACGCTGACCAGAGCCTTTGGGGACAGCGTGAGTGCTCTTTATCGACATGCACCAATGGCTCTTCCCTCGTTCTATGTTGAGTACATTCCTCAGGAGGTGCCAGTTTTATGTGCCCTCATTGATCGCCTGGTGTCCGGCATAGACATGCTCCTGACGCCTGACCACTGCGGCAACCTAAAGTCGGGATGCGGGATGCTCGACGTTGAGCTGGTGGATCTTGGACCTTTTACCCACAGAATTATGATCACCAACTAGCCCAAGTGGATACCCTTTTTGCTGGATGCTTGGGAGCTCCAAGCAACTCTTCCGGAAGGGAAAAGAAAGGCAACCACTGGGGAGAGGAATCCGAGATACGACATGCGTGTTCGTGGTGGGACGGACTGTGGCCGGACGCAGAGCACTTAGGAGACAAACAGAAGAAAACCAACGTGGACGCAGCGCAAGCTACAAAACAGCAGCTGCATCAAGATTTCGTCAGCCGCGACCTGCAGACAACCAATCTGGGCGCTGTGCCTGCCACAATACAGCAGAGGGACTGCAAAGGCTCGTTCACACATTTATAACCGAATACGACCGAGAGCAGCAGTGCACCCGGTCCTAAGACGTGAAAAGAGGCTTATAAACCCGTCATGTCTCTCTCCGTCCTACTCGATTGCAAGTGTGTGAATGGCGCCGAAGTGCCTCTCGGCCGCGTCTTCAGTTTCTTCTTAACTTTTCTTTAACTGAACGCTCGGCCACACGCCAGCTGTATAATTTTTATTCCTAAAATTTATTCTTAGCATTGCTTTCGTTGCTTGCATTGTTTATTTCAGTTGATGTTGCGTGTACTGTTCGTGCTTCTGCCCAAGACATTATTTTAGCTGGTGTCTAGGTGTACCTCATGCTTTTGACGATTTGTCTTTGTTTAAACATATATTTATGAGAGACGCGAGTTGCTAACTCTGGTCTACAGGGAATCATACTGAATGTGCTGTAGTGTTCCTACCCATCAGACGTATGCAAAATACTCTAATATATTTGCCTGCCGAAAAAAAAGAGTCAAAAGTTTTTTTATTTAGTCTTTTGTGGCTACCCATTTAGACAATCTATTTGGGGAAACGTAGGGCACGTATATGACCAACTTGGAAAATGATTCTCCTTCATTATAATTACACTATGAGCAGAATCGAATACTATATGAAGACCATTTTAGTAAATCAGCATGGCTTTGAATAAACAAAAAGAACTTTGAATCAACATGTTCATAAGGGTGTGAACAAGCCAAGATGCCAAGTTTTACGCTTGGGTGTAATCTTAGATTTGCAGGTACCGACACAATGACTACAGCATATGAAACACTAATTATACCAATACTGGAGTAGGCTAACAATGTTTGGTTTCCCTACACGGAAGACGGGATGACCAGACCTGAAGGCGTCCAAAAACAAGCTCTTAGGTTCATCTTCATCGCACTTAAAAAACAACAGTTGTGGTTCGTAGTTGCTAACAGACGCCGATATGAATACGTTGGAAACTAGGAAAAATATAATAGATTGAATCTTCAGTATTTCTTTATCTACGGCTAGTTTGATATACAAATTGAACAATATATCGCCTTTTCATGGACCGGATCTTCAAGGATCCACCACACTAAATCAACCCATCAGTACAGATTTAAACAAATGTGTTCAAGTAAAAAGTTATCTTCCGGGCAATTTAAGACAGGGATACACTGTCAAATGGAATTGGCACTCTTTAATCACTTACTAGTTTTTATAACGCAATTCTTCAGATATACAAGATCGCATTTTCGCTGTGCAGTTATTGTATATTGTATATAATATGTTGAAAATTTCCGCCCCTGCTAAGGTTTTACTGAAAGCCGCAATATCGAATAAAAAAATAAAAACGGTTACGACGTATTTTATATTTTCATATCTCATGAACGGGTCGAGTATCCTGCAACCAGTTCGAGGTTTCAACGGGAGACCGTTTTACAGTTCGTTCGCATTTCATTTTTGTTTAAGTAGGATAGTCTAGTATACTTATTCCGCAGGTGACCGTTGTCAGTGGTTCATACTTATTCTAGAGTAGTTAGTCCGCAAGCAAACGTTTGAGGCGAAAAAAGTGCAATTCACACACATGCGGGAGTCCGACCGAGCACCACTGCAACGGTTTGCGACATAAACCATTTCCCCAGTTGCTATGGCGACAGAGTTTTAAGCCGCTTACAACGGCTTAGATTCCATAGCATTTCGTAAAACAAATTACCATTGCAAGCCGTTGATGTCACATTCGTTCAGACTCACGCAATGTAAGAGAAAGCCTTTATACTCACTAGAGCACAGCTTCTCGGGCCACCGTCGGCGACGCGTCCCAGTTAGTTGAGTATACTTAGTTCGTAGGCGAAAGTTGGCGGTATGTATTACTTATACCACAGGCGACCGTTCGGTGAGTCAAACTTAATCAATTCTGCTCAGTCTGCTGACGACCGCCGACTTCAAGTCATAATTAGTCCAACATATTTAGACTTAAATCCGATCACCTGCGACACCACCATCCTATGGAGCGAATTACGACGCGCAATGTCTGTATCAACACGGCGCTCGTTTTTGTTTTGGGATTGCTCTTTAAACCAATCATCCAAGACGAAATCGCACAATCCCGGCGTATTTAATGCGCGTTATTAGTTTAGTCGGTGATTTCAAAAGTACAAAAACTCTGAGCGCACTGACCATGAACTTTTGGAGATGCCTGATTTGTTCTATGCGGAGCGCAAGTTCGTCTGCACCTTTTTCAGGGGTTTTGGTGACGTCATAACATCGATTTATAATTTCCCTGAGTGAAGGATGGTTAAACCTTAAGGCATCTTGCTCTGAGGTATACCTAATAGCCTTCAATCAAAGCCAATCATAACTCAGCTTTCTTACGTCACCACAACCCCAGCAAAAGAAGAAGACAAACGTGCGCTCGGCACTGAATTGTAGCGTCGACTGAGGTTGTACTGAACATGAAACGAGGTGCAGACCGCAGTCCATTGTAAGCTGGGAGTAGTACGTATTCCGGGATGCTCATTCCGGAGGCGACTATCGGCTAGCACATGTTTTTAGACAAAGCGTGGCTTTGCCTGAAACCAGGTGACGTCGTGGACTCACGACGTCAAGGTGTGAATCCTAAAGTGCCAAGAAATAGCGCAAGCGGAGTATTCCATCGGGCCTTCGGACAAAAGTCAATGGATAAAGTAAAGGAGGGCGTGAAAAACCTCCTCCCCTTGAAATTACTTCGCTTGCCACACGCCCTTTCTGAAACGCGTTACAATCTGAGAGCACTAAGAATTCAAGGCACAGCTTGCACCCACCAAAGAAGCGCGGGCGCTTCAGGCGCGCTGCTAGCTTCTTTGTGTTCGAGAAAGGAGTGGCAGGAACGGAGAATTGGTGACACATTTGGCTAGCTTGGGCAGCTTTTCGAAGCGACTGCTATGTGCGCGTTGTGTGGAGGCTACTTGAACCAGGGTGCAAGCGAAACGGGTTTTGAGGAGACAGCGAGCGGCAGTCCGTTCAGTGCGGGAAGAGGTCGGGCGTCGCTTCGTGGTGCCGAGGATTATAGCTATTGCCCGTTTTTGGTGTGTGTTCATCATTTTTGGTTAGGAGAGATAAGCAATCTGATTTTAATAACATTGTTTGTTTTGCACCGAGAACCACTGTCTGCGCGTCGGTTCGCATACTGTATCAGCGCCGAGGATATGTTGCATCTGTGCTAATGTGAGCAGGCAGCAAGTACGAAAATAATAAATGGGATGCCAAGTTGGCTTTTGTGAGCAGCTTGGCTTGTTTACCCTGTGTATTAATTTAAAAAGGTTAGACTGGTTGGAGAGTCCACCAGCATGACCAGCTTTACCAGCTATGACCAGCATGCCAATCTCGAAAAGCTAGGGTAATAAACCAGCTTGAAGCTGGGACCAGATCCACCAGCATGACCAGCATGCTATACGGGGCATGCTGGGGCAATAGCACAGCATGAAGCTGGGAACACGTCAACCAGCATGACCAGTATAACCAGATTAACCATCATGTCCAGTATGACCAGATCAACCAGTATGACCAGCATGCCAAGCTCGGCATGCTGGGGCAATAACCCAGCTTGAAGCTGGGAGCAGCTTAAGCTGTTTTTTCAATAGAACCCCGTAACGCCTTATTTATTATGTAAATATCTGACAACTCAGCTTAACCCTACTTTACTATAGGCTACTCATATAACATGTGTAGTTACTGACGCTAATCGTACTCCCGAAATTTTGAGCCGCAACCTCCACTTAGTGACACTCTCAGTTATTCGGCTAGCCTAAACAACATTGGTAAGAAACAAACTAGAGCACGCGTCCCCAACATGGTTTTTCTGACAATCATGTTAAAGCATCCTCCTAAACATCATTCAAAGTGCGTGAATTTGTTTAATTTATTTTCGCTAATTTTTATATTCTAGCATTTCAGGATTACACCGGTCAGCTAAACTAGACACACGTTCAATCCGAGGCCTCACAGCTGTCTCTTTTTGATGAAATATTTATCACAACAACCACCTCAGGTAATTGTTGCCATAACCTACTCACAGTATTTTGTCTAGTTTGAAACATTCATTTTCATTAAGTGGGATTTCATCATCCAGTTTCTTATCAAATGACTATTTTACCATTGACAATAAAAAGCTAAAATGCACTCCCTGGCGGCACTGTTTTTATAAATAGAAGTAGCATGTTTGCTGCAGCAGAAACCACGTTCTTCTCTAATCCCTCTAATTAGGTTGCAGTGTTTTATTACCGTGATAATGTTTTCCTTATTGCTTTCGTGTGTTTATAAACATTTAGATACACCCGCTCTCATGCGTAATGCCTTCTGCGGGTTCACGAGAGAAATAAATGATGATGATTATGATGGCCATCTCAAAACATCAGTCGGAGCCGTCCTCTTAACATGCTTCAGAGGGCCGCCACCTGATCTGGATAAACAAACTGTTACTTCATAAACTGCTATAGAATAAGTGAAAGAAAGTGCTGTGCACTAACATCTGGAAAAAGGAATAGAAGATACCGTTAGAGATAGCCGCACCTCTCACTCAAATAGAATTCTTTTAAATATTGACAGAAATTTTTTGTTACAGTTCTAACATGGTTATCGCCCTAAAAAGAAGTACAGATTTCATAACTTCGGACCAATCACTCACTATGTCTTTTCAGTCAGTTGTTGAACGGAACAGGTACGTAAGTCAGTTCTGCACTGGAATGTGAAAAAAAAAATCTCTGATACCATTGACTCCTACCTCACTGGAGAAACTTAATATATTTTACGCAGCACCTTTCCGACCATTAAAAAACCGTGCTTATTCGTCTCACGTACTTCTTGAGGAGTGCGAAATGACACGTTGAGTGTCATTTCGCACTCCAGTATCGGAGGTCGCATGGATCATCGTGAACGACCTGAAATTTCCAGAGTCTGGCGCCAGGGTATTCACTGTGCAATATTATTCTTTATGAACCACGTCCAATATTCATTACACCTACCCTATTGAACAAAAACCAGCTTAAGCT